TGCTGGATCTGACTGTGGAGGGCCCGCTCAGGCTGCCCCTAGTACCAGATCTAATCACTCAGAGCTGCGAGGCCGGGGTGGCACTCCACCCGAGCCTTCCATCTCTCCACCTAGCAGCGTGGCTCCTCAGTGGCTCTCAGTGACGGAGCGAGCCTGCTCCAGAGCAGTCCAGGAGGTCCTCTTAGAAAGCAGAAAGCCGTCCACTAGAGCCCTTTACGAGGCTAAGTGGAAGAGGGTTACTTCCTGGCTGGAGGGCAGGACGCTCGCTCCAGGTGAAGGGGCGGTTCCGATTGTCCTGGAATTCCTTCTCCACCTGTGGAAACAGGGCCTGGCCACAGCCTCCCTAAGGGTGTACCTGGCGGCCATAGCGGCCTTCCACGCCGGGGGGGGCCAAAGGTCTATCTTTGCCAATCCCTTGGTTAAAAGGTTTCTAAAGGGAGTCGACAGGATGATGCCATATGAGAGGCCTCCGGTACCGGCTTGGGACCTTAACCTGGTCCTGACTGCCCTTATGAAGCCCCCGTTCAAGCCCCTGGCTTCATGCTCCTTGATACATCTGTCTTATAAGGTAACTTTCCTTGTGGCCATTACCTCGGCCAGGCGGGTGTCTGAGCTTAGGGCTCTCACCTCAGAACCACCTTACACGGTGTTTTTTAAAGACAAGGTGAGGTTGCGTCCACACCCAGGATTTCTTCCCAAGGTGGTCTCACACTTCCACATGTCCCAGGATATTTACCTGCCAGTGTTTTACCCCAAGCCACATGCATCGCCCAGGGAACAGGCTTTGCACTGCCTGGACGTTAGGAGGGCGTTGGCTTTTTATATAGATAGGACACGAGAATTTCGTAAGTCAAATCAATTGTTTATTTCGGTGGCGGAAAGGATGTGTGGTCAGCCAGTCTCGGCGCAGCGTATATCCTCGTGGATTACTTCCTGCATTCGACTGTGCTATGAGGGCGCGGGTAAACCACTGCCGCGCATAACAGCACATTCCACTAGAGCCCAGGCGATGTCGTCGGCGTTCCTGGCCTGCGTGCCGATCTTGGAGATCTGCAGGGCAGCAACCTGGTCTTCTGTGCACACCTTTGCAGAGCATTATGCAATCACGCAGCTGGCCAGGGAGGATGCTGCTGTCGGGACGGCAGTTCTGCATTCTGCAGAATAATAAGATAATAGTTAGTCACCTTCCGACCCCGCCTTCGGAGGGGGGACACAGCTAGGGACTCACCTAATCAGAATGGACATGAGCAAGCACTCGAAGAAGAAGAAGAGGTTACTTACCTCGTAACTGTAGTTCTTCGAGATGTGTTGCTCATGTCCATTCTGCATCCCACCCACCTCCCCGTGTCGGAAGGAGCCGGCAAGAAGGAACTGAGGGGTGGGAGGGCCAGCAGGGGTATATATGCACCGGTATACCGGCGCCACTCCAGGGGGCTCCCTGCTGGCCCTATGGATACTGCTAAGGGAAAAAAGCTCCGGAATCCATGCACGCGGCGCACGTACACCCAATCAGAATGGACATGAGCAACACATCTCGAAGAACTACAGTTACGAGGTAAGTAACCTCTTCTTTCTCAAGGAGTATACTGGCCTGCTAGCACAATGTTTGTTTCCCAAAATAGATTGTCCAGCTTCAAAAGTATCATCTAACAAAAGTTTTCAGCAAACCGTATGATTTAGGAGATGATTTAGAGTTGACATTGTTCACTTGTAAGTAATCTTTTCAAACACAGTCCAAGATAGCAGTGATCAAATCTAAGTGGTTGCTAGCTGATGGTCTGTCTTGTCTCAGTCTGTGGTCAGAGCAGACCAGAGGCAGGCAAAATACGGCCCATAGGCCTGATCTGGCTCACCAAAGCATCGTATCTGGTTCGCCATAATTAGGGATGTTAGAGGCTAGCCTGATAACTGTTTAACCCAGTAAATGATTGCTTATTGGTTAACGGTCCTGGTTAACCGCAACAGCCTCCCTCCCCTGATTGCTCTGCATTTAAAACTCAGACTGCAGGCTGCCTCAGTCCCGACCTGCTGGTCTGAGTTTTAAATGAAGAGCTCACAGGAGAGCTGTGCACCGCCCCATGCTGCTGTCCCTGTATTAGGGGCGGCAGCAGTCCCTGTCCTCAGGGGGCATGAGCTCCCCGCAAACAGAGGCTGTTCCAGCATCCCATGGACTAGCCTCTGTCCACGGTGGAACTGGGCTCACTGCAGACAGAGGATGCTCCATGGGATGCCAGAACAGCCTCTGTCTGTGGGCAGCTCAGGCCCCCTACGAAAAGGGCCTGCTGCTGCCCTGTGCTGATGCCTCTGATACAGAGGCAGCAGCACGGGGTGGCAGGGGGGCTCCCCGGGAATGGGGAAGTGCACTGGCTGCCGGCCACACCCCCAGGAGTCATTGAATAATCATGTAACTGCTAAGAATTGTTGCAGTCACACGATTAAATGAAATGGATTTTAACATCCCTCGCCAACATCCTGAAGCCCAGTCGAACCCTTGAGTAGTAGGCTCCCTTCCTGCTGCAGCCAAATGCCGCTCAAAGCAACCTGCTGCTGGGGCCATGTGTGTCTATCTGCTGCACACCCCATGGGGGATTGATTCTATGTGCTGTCCCCCAGTACAATCCTCGTAGCTCCCATTGTCTGGCAAATGGGTGCTGCCTAACCACCCCCGCGGCACACAGCACAGATATACACATGGCCCCAGAAGCTGGCCCCTTTAGTGGCATGTGGCCACAGTAGGCAGGGAGCCTGCTCAAAGGTCCAGCTGGGCTGCTGGCTGGAAGCCACTTAGGGTGAGAGCCTGCACCTGTCACCCTACACCCCAACTCCCTGCCTCTGGTCACAACCCATGTCACTCCCCTCCTACAGCCCTCCCCCAGGTCAGAATCCTTTCTGCACCCGTAGCCTTTCCTGGATTCTGCACTGCAGTCCCCGGCTGCTTCTTTCACCCAGACTTCCTCTGAGACCCCACTTCTGCTCCTGCACCCCAGTTTCCTTTCTGCACCCAACCTCCAGCCCAGAGCCCGCACCTCCCCCGTTAATATCACAGAAGAGTGTGGCCCTTGACTACTTACAAAATTCTTGGTGTGCTCCTCCCATCAAAAATTATTGCCCACCCTTGTACTAGATTGTATCGCAGAAGCAATTACTAACAATGGGCATCGTATCGGACGACTTATGCTTTTAATAAGAAAAACAGAAGAAACAGGATTGTATTTTATACAGAAGTTTCATCTTGGTAAAGAAAAGGAATACAGACTATTAGGGTATGTCTACACTACAAAGTTAATTTGAACTAACAGCTGTTAGTTCGAATTAACTTTGATAGGCGCTACACATACAAACCGCTAGTTCGAACTTAATTCGAACTAGCGGAGCGCTTAATTCGAACTAGGTAAACCTCATTCTACGAGGACTAACGCCTAGTTCGAATTAAGCAGTTCGAATTAAGGGCTGTGTAGACGCCTTCAGGTAGGGACTCACTCGGACATTCTGTCACTTCTCTCTCTCTCTCTCTCTCTCTCTCTTTCAAGTGACATGCCCACTTTTGATACGATGTACAAAAAATAAATGTTGTGTAATCCTGTTCTTTCTGTAGTTACACTTTTCTTGGGGGGTTCTTACTCAGGTAACATTCTCAGACGTGTCTGTGCTTTCTTCAGGGCTCTGTGTTATGCTCTGATTTATTTTCATAAATGAATGTGTCAAGCCATGGCCTCATCTCATTTAACTTGTGAGTGGGAAGGCAAGAATGGGGTGGGAAGAAAGATAGTGGATATCTTTTTGTTTAGTGTTTCTCCCTCCACCCCCAGGAACTTTTACGATGTGGACATGCTTTTTCTATGTAACCAGGTGGCCTGACGATTGTCATCCTTTTCCTTCCTCTCCTCATCCTCTGAGGAGGTCGGATTATGACACCTTGCCCACACCTCTGTGAACCACTTACTCACACTAGTAGCTCCATTGATTTCACTGGGGCTATTCATGTGAGTAAAAGATCCACAATCTGGGTTTGATGTGACACGTCAAATTTGGGCGGCATTCTTTGGGTTTTGCAATACACGTTTGGGGACTCAAATTTAGTACATCATAAAAATATTTAAAAATACCTGAATGTTCAAGTGCCCTTTCAGTTCTCATATTTATAAGGTAAAACTCTCCAGTAACAAGTGGCTTATCCTCTATTTTACAGACTTACAATCAAAGCCAGTCCAACAAAAAGAGCATTTACAAAGCAATCTCAGAAAACAAAATGCTTCACTTTTATCAGCAAAGCCCTCGTATGATTCCTGAAGGAATAACCCCAAAGCTGCACAAAATGTTTATCACTCCTGCAATAAGTGAACCAAATAATTCAAGATCGCTTTCCAAAGAGAGAAGATCCAGCTCCCTCCATCATAAATCCGCCCTTTTTTCCATGGGCTCAAGTAAGTGTACGATGATTTCTTTGTGTCTTGTGTAAGCTGATGTCTTGACTGCATTGTGGTACTGAAACATGTGCAAAACTGTTCATAAGTGTTATGGGTTGTTAGCTCAGTTTTAGTACAACACTGCTCGTTGATTTGAAATTGCCCTGTGTCATCAGAATGCTCTGCACATTTCTTATTTCTATCAGATAAGTGTACTTGCTGTGAGTGGAACAGAATCTATTACTGTTTAAAATCAGAGATCCTAACTATTTGAGTAATGTGTTTAAGAGACTACTTTTAGATGCAGTGTTTGCTGTAATCTCCCAGCCATCCTGTGGAACAGTGCGCTGCTTGATCATTGCCACTGAACAAAGTGCATGCAGTCGGACTTCTGAAGTTCTGGCAACCCCAGCCTCATTCCAGCCCTCACTTCCCCCAGTAGCCTGAGTGCTACCTAACTACCCAGGGTCGTGGGTTCAGGTGGTCAGGACTTTACTTAAGAATAATGCTTACTCTCAAGGATCAAAGGAAGGTCGGTCAGAGGTGCACAGCCTGTAGTACAGTTGTCATGCCATTGGCTGCTGCTCATATTGCAACTTTTAATACCTTTATCCCCTGAGAGGACGAAGGCCCATCGAGTTCATGAATCCTGGTTAGGTGCTTGAGAGGTACTTGGTCTGAATTGATCTTAAAACTGTTACTGTTCTGCTTCAGAAGTAAGTGTCTGAGGAAAGAGGCCTAATTTCTCCATGCCTTGGTTTCTTAAGCAACTTCTCAGAAGGCCTCCAAGCAAGGGAGATTGGTAAAACTTACAAACTCTTTCAAACTCTGCTCCCTCCAGCTCCATCTTGTTTCCATCCTGTTGGCCTGGGCCAGACTCGGGCGTCACAGGCTAGAACATGTACAATTAGTCACTTTGTTCTCCTAGAACTGCAGCCACCTGCATATTCCACTTTTGCAGAAAACCTGACTCACAAATTTACCTCTGAGGCCTTGTCTACGCTGGGAATTTGTCAGACTTCCAGCAGCAGACAGTCAACCATGGTGGTGCTGCATTGTTGGAGCTGATGACTGCTTGAGAAAGCATAAGGACTTGGGGAAGGAGAGATTCTTTTTCACCTGATTCCATCCAGCAGTTACAAATACCAGAGCTTAAAAGGAAGGGGAAGGCTTAATCATACTATAGGAAGAGGCAGAGAGTTTTCTGCTAAACCAGACAATTCCAGCCAAGGATTTTGAGCTTATTTCTTTTGTATTGAATCTTTCCCTTCAAGGAATCCTACTTTCACAGAAAAACATGTCTGCTTTCCCTCTTGACCTGGATACTGAGAAGATTAAGAGCTCATGAAATGGTTTAGACTTTAAAAGTGATCTACATAAATTACAAGTGCTCCCCAAAGACTTCTGTGACTCCTAAGCTACACTCCATAAGATTGATCCAGCCATTTAATTTAATTTAATTTAATTTAATTTAATCAGAGTATTTACACTGTCTCCATCTCTGAGTTGTCTCACAGGCATGGTCACTGAAATGGGCAGACCTTTTCAACCCCACTTTTAAACTATTACTGAACAGGTCACTTCCTAACCTGACTTTTTAACGACACAGTAAGACCTTTGTGTTTGTCTCTGTAGGGTTGCGTATGTGACTGAATAGTGTGGAGTAAACTAACAGTTCTAAGTGTTGTATTATTTATAGGCAAATTACTATTATTGGAAAACTTACTTGTTACATACAGAATAATTTGTCATGGAGGAATGAAAATGCTGGTGAAATATTTGACTGCTTGACCTTGTTGCAGATGTCACCTTTTACTCGGTGTCTTCTAACTGCCAGTCAGAGCACATCTGGTTAGTACCCTGTCATTTGCCAGTGCTTTCACTTGAAACCCTGGTGTTGCGAACAGTGGTACAGGAGAACTGATGTTAATAATGAAAAGTATTTAAAAAATGAGCCTGGTGACAGGCTTGCAGTTTCTGATTGTTTCGTTTCTTACATGATCTTGATAGCCACATTGCTGGGTGTTGCATACCCAATGACTCAGCCATCCTGACTATCCTGGTCTGTCCCCATGTTTCTACAGCTGCTAGCTTTGATACTAAATTTGGCAGTATTGATTCATCCATTGAAGCGCATAACCATTTTTACACATGTAAAAATATATTTTTATGTTTTAATTGGTTGAGGAGCCAAAAATTAGCTACTGAGAGAGTCCTAGGTGGGTACAAAGTTAGTATCCACATCTGCAAAAAATATCCGCACATGTGGATAGCCATGAATATATAGCAGATATCCGCAAATTTGCAGGGTTTTAGCTGATGAGGTGAAACATCACATTAACTCCATACACGTTCAGTTTGAATGTAAAAACCATGCAGGCCTGTGATATTACAGTGCTGTTCAAAGTAGGTTACAAAAACTCAATAAAACTTGACTTGAGGAATCCTACCTGAATGTTTGGCTTGTGAAAGCAAATTAAAAAAAGGCTCCAAGAGTCCTTCTGAATGTTACATTACTTCCTGACAACACGCTTGAAGGGTTTGAGGATTTTGCAGTATGGTCCAAACATAATAGTATGGTGCGCTGGACATCATGGCTTAATTTTGGTTAACGGTAAATTTGTGTATTGCTTCCTAAGTGTTGAACATTCTGATCTGTTTGAAGGAGCAAGTTGTAGAATTGGGATTCTGTAGTACATTCCATCTCAAGAGATACGCTTTGTACTTCAGAACAGATAGATTATATTCACTTTATTAAGTAACGAAGATTTTAATTGAGCTCAGAAAGCCTGTGTCGTAATGTGTGTTAGATTTGTTCCCTTCAGGCAACAGCAATAGAAAGTTTGTTTTTTTTAAAAGTTACTAAAGAAGATTATTACCGTTGAAAAATAGTTCACAAAAAGGCAGATTCTTTAACAGAAGGTAATGGACACAGGGAAATAATGTGGTATTACATTGTAAACAATCTCTGAAAGCAGGACCAAGTCATTATTCACTCTCATTTCATTCACACTCATTTCATTGTTTGTGTTATCGTTGCAATTTTATGCCTTACAGAAAAATGACTTGCATCATGTACGATACATTAAAAGGTGACACAAAACTGATTGCCGGTCTCAAAGCAGACTGTTAAAAACCTGGGCATGAACCCCCAACTGCACTAAGTGCTGACTCCTCTGAGACTTAAACAACCTCAACACCGAGTCACAGACAGTCCCTCTGGGCACTCCAAGTGAGCATATCTTTGTGATCGATGGTCCTTACACCAAAATCACAGCAATGTTCAAGTTCCTCCTAATCTCCAGGGACTGACTTCAGGTCAGTTGCACTTTTGGTCTCACACCAAAGACAGTGCTTGTAGCCAATCCGATAGGAACCTCCTGAAGCATCTGTTCCATTCTCCTTCTGCTCTTACTGTTAGGAAATTTTCCTAAGAGGTAATGTAAATCTGCTACTCCGTCTCTTGAACCAATTGTCTCTTGTCCTGTCTTTAGTCCTTTAGCTCCGTGGTCCCCAACCTTTTGGGGCTTCCATGCGCCTGGGGGCGGGGCCGCGCATGCACCTCACGCCCAGGTCCCGGGGCGCAAGAATGGCTTGGGCTGGCCCTGATCACTCGGCGGGTGTACGTAATGCCCCGGCGGGCGCTATGGTGCCCGTGGGCACCACGTTGGGGACCACTGCTTAGTTGATGGGTTCTCAGCCCATAAGTAGACTTTCCAGTTACACAATCCAGCTAGAGTCAGTTTGGTATTGATGGGCCTCCTCTTTTGGGAGGGAGAGTTAATGTGTGAGACAATTGACAAGCATTCAATAGAGGCCCAACTAGGGTTGTAAAAACCACAGAAAATTGTTAACTGGTTAAACGATTTTTTTAACTGGTTAATCACTGACCACGATCAGTGCGGGCTGTCCTTGCCCTTGAGTTAGACACTGTGAAAATAGTCTTCCAGGTGACTGCAGAACTGCATCGTGGTGGGGGGGGAGAGTCCCTGAGATAAGGCAGACTCTTCTGCTTGGCTGGATAGATTAATAAAGATGGGTGAATTGAGTGTACCACTGTTGTAGCCTCCTGTGGCCTATAGGAATTTAGATAATTTATTGCCCTTTTACTTTTATGGGAAGTAAAGTGTATGTGTGGTGTAAATGGCTTGTTTTCCTTTTTGGGACGTCCATTCACATGGAAGTTTGTGTGGAATCTTGTTTTTTGGGGAGAGAGTGTCTCCAATTTGAGAGCTTATTCTTGGTCGTCTCCTGTTTGCTGTAAAGGATACTGATTAAGTGGTTCCCTTTTTTTTTTTAAGAGAGTCTCTTTCCAAATTAATTGGCCTCAGGTGCCTTAATGAGCCTAATGGTGTTCATTGACTCTGTGGGCTAAATGGGGTCAAGTATCAATTAGCATGGAATAGCCTTCTTTGTTTTGGTTACTTAGGTAATAGGGACATGCTTATCCTGTGGTTAGTATATCTGCCTTCTACTGCTCTTCTGTACCAAACTGGCCTGAGACTGTCACAAGTCTCTCTTACTCCCTGTATCCATCTCCCCCAAAATAGTTAAATAGGAAGTTTTTTCATGTTGTCTCTTGAAACTGCAATTGTGATAGCGTATAATGACACTGGTGCTTGCTTTCTAAATCCTTTGTTTACAGCTACAAACAATTTCCCTTACTGTGGATTTTTGGAAACACAAAAACATTACAAGTCTAATTCCTAACACTAAAACCAAACTGAGCTATTTCCCTCTGCTATTTAGGTCATGCCTTCTTTAAAGCCAGTCTTTGGTTGGGCTACTTAGGGCTTCTGTTTCTCTCCTCTTAACATCGAGCCCTGGCGCATGGTACTATTATGTAATGGATTGTAATGTAGCAAATTAGTGAACAGCTTTCTTCTGGCCCTGAGTTAGTATCTTTAAGAAATGTTGATCTTTATTAATCTTAAATAGCTTGGAGGGGAAGTAAGGTTAGTTTCAGGCAATGAGGTGAATGGGTGAGTATTTTAAAAGCATAAAGGGCTGAGAAACTTTCATCTTTCTGTTGATCCTTATTTTATGCATTACAAAAAACATCTTCAATAACAATATCTCGTACTAATCAAAGAACCTAACTAAATCTTAAGCACCCCTCATCAACTATTTTGTTTATACCATATTTCTGTACTTTTGGCCTTTCTCTAGACATATATTTACCCACATACTTAGAGGCACCAGCCATAATAAAAAATAGCTCAGTATTTGGTGTCATGAAGTTCCTGAATGCCTATCACTCACAGGTTAAAAAACAACACTGGCCTTTAAATTCAAACATGCCCTTTGGTAATGTAGAGATTCTGGGAGAAAAGATAATATGCAAATACATGTAATATACAAGAACCAGAGGTCTGAAAAGGTTAATATTTACTACCAGTGTGGCAACAGAAATTTTGTTTTACTGTGATTGGTACCATATGAGGTCCTAATTAATATCTGTGTCTTTTTCCTTTAATACATAGATTTATTTTTCCTGAGATGTTTTCATTTTTACCCATTTGCAGGCACAAAGCAAACAGATTCTCATGAAAATTGGTGCCTCACATCAGAAGAATTTGAAGAATGGAGCCGCATATATAAACTAAAAGAAAGCGATGGAGTCAAAGAACCAATATTGCCTCAAAGTCACTTTGAAACTTTAGAAAATATGGAGGAAATAGCAGTATGTTCAACCTTAATGTAATGTTAGTAGCAGACCCAGAGAAATTACAGAATGAATCTCCACCACTGATTTTTTTTGAACGTGTTTTTTTTTATCATTACATTAGAATAGATCTGATAATTTTACAGTGTAGAAATTGTGTGGTGCTGCCAGATGCTGACAGATACCTAATGAGTTTCCCAGACCAGGATTCTTTTCCATATACTTGAAAACAATCCAAAGAAATCCTTTGACGGGGAAAATAATCCCAAAGGCTTCTGGGGAGCAAATCAAATGAATTAAAAAGATTCTAAAGAAGCATATCTTAACAAATAAATATCAGAATGGTTCGTTCTCATATACAATTTAAGTACAGAGACTTATAGAATCCTAGATTGATTGGCATGTGAGACTTTTCTAATATCAGAGGCTCACTTCCTGTAAATTAAAGTATTTGCAGAATATTGTCATGTCTCCTGTTGCTATTATAAGGATAGGATACTTATTTTTGGTAGATACAATTTGTGTTAACACTTCCAAAGGTTACCTGCACTCCTTTGTCAAAAAAGATACTATATCCTCAGTGATGATACTCCAGTAACTGTGAGTAAAGTAAGAGCTCTGTTATCCAGCACTCATTTTACCAGAAAGCTCAGTACTACTACTGGATTAGTTAGTATCTATATACTGTTTTCTTCTTCATTTATTTTGAAATCCCTAGTTTTACCTGGAGAAGGAAAGACTCCCACTCAATGGGCTATTTCATGATGCAAAAGAATAAATAGGGATCCCCATCTGTAACTTCACATTTCAGACCGGCGTGCAATGTGCATGACAAATGGCTTCAGTACAGAATACATAGCTCAGACTAAAAGCAGAGAATATTTCCTTTTATGAAAACACACATTCCCCCTTATAATAATAAGTTTATAAATCTTTTATTTTGGTCAGGACATTTAACGAGGAAGGTTCCCATAGAAAACTATTTGTTTTGTGAATCAATTGCTATATTGAAATCTTCATGATCATATTTGTTTGAAACTGCAGGCATCTCAAGCGGAAGACGCTCATAAACTTTCCCTATCTGAGTGGAGACTTTGGCAGAATCGTCCCTTTCCTACTCATCTGGTTGATCACTCGGCTCGTTGTTTCCATTTTATTGATGTTATGGAAATGATAGAACTGATGAGACATGAAGAGGTAGGCTCTTTGAGTTACTGGGTTTGACTTTTATGCAAGCACAGATATCCATCAACTACATAATTATAAAAAAGCAAATTTCAATAAGTTTAAAGGCTTATCTACACAAAAATTCACAGGGAGGTAAGCATGAAATTGCTAGGGTATATATTTAATGCGTAACAGCTGTCCCACATTAATTCCTTGTGTGGACACACTTATTTCACACTGAGTACTTTCAATTAAAAAGTGGATTAAGCTAAACCACAATAGTAGTTTAGGTTAATATTCAGTAATAGCTATTCTGCATTAGCTTTTCACGGCCTTCTCCCCACATAGACAAATCCAAATCAAAACGAAAGGAGGAAAAGTGTATGTAGTTTCTAAAGATGGCATAAAGCCCATACAAATATTCACTAAAATGAGTGTCTTAAATACCCCCCACTTGTAGTCTTTTAATTAGACTGTTTTTTAAGTAGTGTTTTTTTTCTGACATACATTTATTCTAGTTTTAATAGTTTTACATGTATATTTCTATTGAGGTGTAACTTCTCAGAAACCCACAATAGGAGAACTTAAACATACCAAGGACCAACATAATAACATCAGAGAAAGTCTTTGAAGAATATTAGAAGTACTTACATATCACTTGCATATATTAAGTGCACTCCTGTGAAAATGATGAGCTTGTGTATCATATAGAAGCACAGAAAAGATACTTGAGAAATATCTCACCAAAAAATGCTCTAATTTTCACACTTAGTATAAAATACTATAATAAAGCCAGAACCTTCTCTATTGCATTCTAAAAGGTAAGGGCTAGGTCAAGAGCATGCCAATCAAATATACAGGTATGAAAATTAAGTTGGGAATATTATTTATTTCCTCAGGTTATCATTGATTGGTGGCATTTAGGTGTTTATAGTAATATACATGCTTAAGTGTGATTATCAACAGACCGATATATCAGAAGTGTGAAGAATTTAATTGGACAATATTCTGTGTTTTTATCCAGTTTAGTTTCAGCATAATTCACATATATTGCTCCTCCGTGTGCTGAAGTTTTCTGGGTCATCAGAATCTGTTGCTTAGCTGCCAAGGTTTCTTGAACAGCTATGGTTAATTGCTGGGAGAAAATAAAGACGATGCTTTTGCATTTCTTGCCAGGAAAGTGAGTTAATGGTAAATCACAAATACGCTTTTTTAGAGCTAGTTTAATTATCTTCATTACAGCCCCAGAACAGTGGAAGTCTTAAGCTCATTGAGAGCATGGATTCTCAGTCTGGAGTCATGAACATATTAAGGGGGAGGAGGCTTAAAAGGTGGTCCCAGGATGGGAAGACAGTGCAGTCATGGCGTAGAAGATTGAAACGCTTTTCTAGTGTATCATCAGGACTGTACATTTTGGTTGTGGGATTTTAAGTATTTGTGCAGATTAATTTCCTGTTTACGTGAATACACAATATGCTTATGTAGTGCTCTGTGCCCTAGCTCATGAGCACTGCCACAAAACCCAGCAGCAATAAAATAATTCAAAGCAAGCAGGTCTGCAAGCAAGTTGGCAATAACTTACAGTACACGCTATTGAAAGTAGCTGATGAATGTAACAGTCACGGACATCTAATCTTCATCCACCATCAGGAGGAGATGGTTGACCAATGCAGTCTTTGTGCCAAAGCCAGATCTGTATCTTGACTGAGGAGGGTCAAGAAGATCAAAGGCCTCTTGCTGCAACCTTCTCCACAGTCTTTCCCAAGATGGGAAGATGTCAGTCTGACTGAAATTTCGCTACACAGGCCATATCAAGCCAAAGGTTTTTGAGCAAAACCCAGACTGTTTCTTTAAAACAATAGGCAACCTGCACTTTTGGAGAAGTATTAATCATCTCCTCAAGCAAGGAGATCTGGAACTTCCTTACTGGCCTTCCCTAGCCAAGAAGTACATGGATCCCATGTACAAGTTTTAGGATGAAGTTTTCTCAGCACCTCCATTATCTCAGTGATTACTGCTGATTGAAATTAGTCAGAAAGATGAGACCGAGTCCCCCAAGACCTTGCTCTGTCTCACCATTGAAGCAGATAGCCCATTCCTAATCTAATCAGTCTCCTCTGCAAAATAACATGCTCTTGCACTGGGGTGGGCTTACCTCAGCTATTGAACTCGGGCACTCTGGATTTACCAAGCTCTTTCTTCCACCCAAACCAAATCTGCTGTCTCAGATTTTGTGGATTCTGTGGTGGAGGAATACAACATTATTTGCTTCCTGCAAGGCCATGCAATATCAGTTTTCAAAACTTTTTGCTGCAACCAGTAAGACTTGGCATGAGATTTGTGCTGTTACTGGTCCATCTTCCCTCCTGCCTCATTTGCAGCAGGTCATCAGTAAATCAGAGTGACTTGTGAGAACAAAGCTAGCAAACAGGGCACAACTTGTATCATTTTGTAGTGCAGGGTAGCTGCAGAGTGAAGATCATTTGTGTATAAAACATTTTTAAGGGAAAAAATGTATAAAGTCACTTGTGGTGGTGAGAATACCACTTGCCTTAGCTCTGTAAAGCAGCTCCAGCATGAATCAGGCATTTGTGACAGATACATTTAGAAATTTTAGTGAAATGTTATGGTGGTGTGTGCCCTCTAGCAACCTTGGTGTCTCGGGGGTGCACCCACCTAGACTGACACTGATTCTCTGCTGGTGCCCAGCATTCATTCTTGTGTCTGTCATTCTTTTCTTCTTGGGTGATCTTGAAGGGATAATGCCAGATAAACAAAATTAGAATGAGGAGAGATGAGCCTTGAGAGACAGGGTTCCATGCTCTTAGGTCAAAGCAGGTGAAAAGGCTTAGTCATACTAGCAGTCACAGCTTTGCTGTTCTTCGCTTCCGGAGAGGTGGAGTCCTAATGCTAGCTCTTCTGATTGTATTTTTGGAGAGAAGATTGTTCATATCCTTAATCATCAGTAAGGATCTTTCCCTTAATCTTTGCTGTCGCTAAATCTACGTCATAAGGCTTTGTTAGTTGTGGCAGCGGCAGAGATGCATTTATGCATAGGATTCAGGCAGTATTTTGAGAATTAAGCTGTTCATCCAAGAAGCAATGCAAGGGATGGGGGTGCTCCGAGCTGATAATAGATGAGCTGTGTGGGAATATAGACAGGAGATATGGCACTTCCCTCTTTCAAAACAAAAGCCCTTCCCACAAGGAAGAGTTGTCCGTGATGGATTTGGGTACCTCAGAAAGATGGTAGCTGAAACTGCTATTTAGTTGTTAAAAAAAAATCTAAGTAAAATAAGATTTTTTTTTAAATTACTAGTGTTAATGGGATGTGGGGGCGTTTAAAATGATGACATCTTTAAGTGCAGGCTTGGCAGCATATATATATGCTCTAACTGATGTTTTCCTTTCAATATAACCTTTACATAAAAAAAATCCCTAAATGTATAAATTAAATGCCGCCTCTGGTTGGTTGAGCTATAGCACAATTCCAATGTAATCGCCTTATTTCATTGGTGCTTATTTGCTGAAGAACTGAAATCGCCTCCTCCAGATGTATACTGTCTCGAGGCAAAATGGTAAAGATGTAGCTATTCTAAATGTTGGATAAAATTTAAAAATATATAATTTTCTAAAATGTTATATTGGCATCCACTTGAGTGATAGAGCATGGTTTCACATTCATAGATCAAGTATAGGAGGCAGTCATGCCTGGCTAGTCATACATTCAGAATGCTCCCATGAAATAGGACATAAAAGAAAGCACTATTATTGCCTATAATATTGGTGAAGTCAGGACATTCCAAAACTTAAGCTTGCTTTGGCAAAGCTAACTTGATGTTATTGCACCCATAAGAACGGTCATACCGAATCAGAACGAAAGGCCATCTGGCTCAGTATCATGTTTGCCAACAGTGGCCAATACCAAATGCCCCAAAGGGAGGGAAAACAACAGGTAATCATCATGGGAACCCTCTCCTGTCATCCATTTCCAGACAAACAGAGGCTAGGGACACCATTCCTATCCTGGCTAATAGCCAGTGATGGACCTAACCTCCATGAATCTATCTAGCTCTTTTTGGAACCCTGTTAAAGTTCTAGCTTTCACCACATCCTCTGGCGAGGAGTTCCACAAGTTGACTGCACTGAGAGAAGAAAAACTTCCTTTTGTTTGTTCTAAACCTGCTGCCTATTAATTTCATTTGGTGACCCCTAGTTCTTATATTGTGGAAATAAGTAAATACATTTTCCTTATTCACTTTTTCCATACCCGTCATAAGTTTATAGACCTTTATCATATCCCCACTTAGTCTCCTCTTTTCTAAGCTGAAAAGTCCAAATCTTTTTTATCTTTTTCCATATGGGACCTGTTCCAAACCCCTCATCATTTTTGTTGCCCTTTTTTGAACCTTTTCCAATGCCCAGGTATCTTTTTAGAGATGAGGCAACCACATCTGTATGAAGTATTCAAGATGTGGATGTACCTTGGTTTTGTATAGAGGCAATAAGATATTCTCTGTCTTATTCTCTATCCCTTTTTTAATGACTCCTAACAATCTGTTTGTTTTTTTGACTGCCACTGCACACTGCTTGGATGTTTTCAGAGAACTATCGGCAATGACCAAGATCTCTCTTGAGTAGTTACCTGTAGCTAAATTAGTCCCCATAATGTTGGATGTATGATATAACACCCACTGTAAACAAGAGACGAAGAACAGGAAATACTGTAGTTTAGTTGATGGTACTAGAGGTCTTTGACTTGCCCAGTTTTGGAGTTGTTAGTCTTGCAAAACTAACATTTTGTTATGAAATTAAATGCCAAAAAAACCCACAAAATCAAAAAGGAAAATAAGACTCTGAACACAACTGACTAAAAGATTTGGCTTAGCCAGTAAAGTTTGTAAATTTCTTTGAACCAACAAATGCAGGCTTGGCTAAGCATTGTATTTGAGCTGTTTTTGATCCTTGTAACAGTCGTGCACATGGAACTTTAAGTATAATGAGAAATTCCATTAATTCAAAGGACACAT